TACTCTTATTTCCTTTATTATAAGCATGATAATTGTTAATTATGCTTTAAATTTGTTCAATAGATGAAATCAACTTTTCTGATAGTTCATTTTCAATTTCGTTAGCTAATATTTTAGTATCTTGTTTTTCCTCTTCTGATCTAGAATTACTTAACGATCTAAAATATTTAATAAAAATATCAACTCTCTTAAATTCATTTTTTTTATCTAACCTCAAAATACATAATGAAAGTTTGTGTACAACATTATTATATTCTTTATGAGTAGCAGGAATTTGCCCTAGCCCTATAATTTCATTTAGTTTAAAATATGCATTTTCATAATCTTCTTTATCAAATGCGTGTTCGGCATCAAATATAAGACTTTCGAATCTTCTTTCTGATTCATAATGTGAAATTTCATCAAAAAGTTCACAAAAAAATCTGTTAGTAATATTTCTTTTTTCTTTGGTTTTTGAATATTTAAATGACATTTCAAAATAATCTTTGTATTCATGGACTTTAGCGATTTCTTCATCTTTCTTCAGTTAAAGAGAAATAAAAAATGATACTATCATAAAAAATGTGATTTGATGGAATTTTTTTGATATTTTCTTTTGCTAACAAATAAGCGGATTCTAATTGGTTATCTCTAAAAAGATCTATAACTTTTTTTACAATATCTTCAAAGTTTTTTTCAGATAACATTATATTATGTTTAATATCTACATGTGTATTTTATATTTAAATATTTTTATAATTAATAATGATGTTCTAATAAATTAATAAACAAATCAAAATAAAACCTTAAACATTGAATCTTTCACAATGTAAAAATGTCCAGCCTCAATCAAATCGATCCAAATGATTTTTCTGATAAAGAATTAATTTATAAAAATATCAATATGGAGATTGTTAAAACGAAATGGACATCGTTAGATTTAGATGTGGTTATTAAAAAATTTTTAAAAAATAATAACGAATTTCAAAATGAATTTAATATTATCTCAAAATTAAAGATCCAACATCCAAACATCATTACCTTTTATGGATGTTGTTCTGACAACCCTCTCAATTTAGTTTTTGAATATGCAGACCAGGAAAATCTAAGAGAATATCTAAAAGATAAATTTGATTGCTTAACATGGAATGATAAGCTTAAACTTTGTAAAGATATTACTAGTGGTCTACATTTTTTACATAATCACGATATAATTCATAAAGATATATAGTCCAAGAACATTTTAATTTCACAACGTACCACCAAGCTTTCCGATTTTGGATTTAGCAAGTTCGAGAATAAAGAAACTAGACCAATTGTTGGTCTGAGAAAACCTTCGTATATTGATCCCCAATACATCATCAACCCAGGTACGAATTATCAAAAAAATCAGATATTTATTCATTGGGTGTTGTCTTTTGGGAAATTTTAAGTGGTGTAATACCATTTAAAAATTTTGAAATTAAAGATGCAATCACAATACATATTTTAAACAGAAAAAGAGAAACTCCAGTTGAGAACAAGCCCGAGTGGTATACGGATATTTACGTTAGATGTTGGGATCAATTACCAGAGTATTGAGGAAGTTTTTGATATTATTAAGAATCATTAATAAGATTAGTTCTTTTACAAATTTTACATATGTATTAATAATTATTTTTAAATAAACAACTCCGTAAACTCCGATAGATGAATATAAAAGTTTTA